TATCCACTAGAGGGGTCCTATGGCCGCATAGGCAGAGATCCTTGGTTTTTTATGGGTGTTGTGTATTGTGAGAAATGATATAAATGAATAAATACACAGTTCGTCAGTTTCACCACATCTTAATTCGTATTTCGTCAGATATTCATGTCCACTGCCGTTAAGATTTTATATCCCTTGAAGAATAGAGTTATCAGGAATTTGACACCACATTACAGCAGTAGGATGCACGTGACGCAGTGGTCGGAGGCGCCTTGCAACACACTCGTGGAATCAATCTTCACACCCATGGCCCACCAAATACCCCGTCCGTCCAGGGTCGGAAAATTGGTACCAGACTTTTCCAGGAGGAAATGCATCACTGGCCCGAGACATCGGGAAGGCGTCGGAAGTTATTGTGTAAAGGCCAGATGTGCATTCAACCACCTCCAACGGTGCTTAATGAAGTCGAATGCATGGAGCGTGCCTTAGGGATTGTTGAAAGCTGAAAGCTTTATCCTTTAGCTTTTACAACACTTCATTCCATGAAAATGTTTTTGAAATGAGAAAACACGCGCTATTCGGATAGACATGAAGGTAAGCTCACGCACATTCCATTTCGATATAAAATTGGAGGCGCACTTATCAGAAGACATATACGAACAACGGGATCATGCTTTCTGAACAGATGAATATGTATGAAAAAGTTTAAACAACCAGGTTTAGCAATAAACATCATAATTATGAATTGATGCAGTTTGTGGTTTTCCCCATCTTTGCCCAATAATCCTTCCCATGGCAGAGTCTCACAGATGAGAAAGAATACATACATACATACATACCCATACAGTCAAAAATAAGCTCAAGACCCACTATAAGTACTCTCATTGTAATACTATTGAGAAAGAACGATTAGCATCCCTTGAGATTCCATAGATTTCTCTCAGGCTATCACCGCAAACATTGTTCGCTTCGCAGTAACAGTCATAGAAATTTTTCATCGTCAGATTAACTTAGGCTGCGTTATGAAGATGAGTATGTCAACCTTTTTCGCAATGTGTATCACCAGTTAATGCACCGAAATCACGTTCCATTCGCCTTCATACATGGCTTATGATATCCATACATATGGGCCCACACTACTGAAACACCTCTTCGCAATGAACAAATATAACTGACTCAGGCCATTCAATGTTAAACACATTACCAAGTTCATGGAAAGAATGGGGTAACTGGCAGCGCGTACTATTTTCTTCGATAACACCGTGGTCTTCAGAGTTCTATCGTAATCACACTACCGCATGACACGAGCGCGTCACCCGCTAACTGGGAGCAATAAACGTCAGTGTTCTTGAATGTTTGAGTTACTGTGACTTCAACTATGTCCAGAATTGCTAAAGAGTCTTAACCAAAGGAAATGTTAAATTATTACACATAAAAGAAGAATGATAGGCCCAGAAATAATTTTCTGCGAATGTGTAGCATGGCAAAGGTGCCAAAGAAGATGGCCATAATGCTGTGAAGACGATGAAGCCTTAGTAAGATCAGCTTCACAGTTCGGAAATAGGAAAAATCCTCCGTGTCTGTGAGAGACTGGTGTAGAAAAGCCAGAGCGTTCAAAACAAGACAAGCCGATAAATAAAGATGTCGGCAACCTGTACTGAACATATTCTATGTGGCGAGGGCCTGTGCATGTTTATATTTGTATACAAGAAAACAGAGACTGGAATCTCTTAAGAGAATATACCAGCATGTCGCATTGAAAGATCTCTGAACTGCGTGCATTGCCTTGTTAGGTGCATCGATCCTGATCCCTGTTCCACGCTAGCAGCTTCAAATGTGTAAAGAGTCACAAAGCTTTCATAACCCTCCAAATCTCACTGGAGAAGCAATGGAAAAGTAGAAGACATGCATAAAACAATGAATTCCTGTCATCGTTGGCACAGCAGTTTTAATGCTTACGCCTTCTTCATGTTGCAATTAAAAGCACAAAGCGCAGCTTTCTGACTTGTAGGAAAAAGAAAGATGGGGCTGAAATAAATCGCGAGAATCCGTCCTCTTCTTCCGTGTTCATTCTCGAGACGGCCACTTTTATTACCAACAACAATCTGTCATACTCGTATGGGCATATTTCTTCAAAATTACCAGGTATAAGAGCAGCTCTTTAGATCCGTTAAGCAGAACGATGGTGCCATGAACCAACCATTGGTCGGCGATTAAAAGTACAAGAATGAATATCTGTTCGTCCAAATATAAGACTGCAAATAAACCGAGTTAATTTCGGCTCACACAGACCCATCTGCCCTCACCTATGAGTTAAAACCTAGTGTTATCGGAGCTCCTCCCAACGTTTTCCGCCTTATCGTGGTTGGGAGGTGTTCCTAGGTGTCATTCTGCGATGTGAAGTGGGGGCGTTCATGATCTCAGCAAGGTCACCAAGCCGAAAAAGAATCCGGCGTGTTCGTTAGGAAACCCAGTTAACAGTAAACAAACACCAGGATCTACCACCGTCTTGGCATCAAACTAGTCACAACGAGGTAGCTAATCTTGCTCTGATGCGTAAGGGCCGCTACTACCTGTGGTGACTACTTGAGGCAGACACGGGCCTGGTTAACTGCAGGACTCCAGATAGCCACCAAAACTCTGAAAAATGGAAATCATACTGGAACCCTCACAACTGGTGGAGACGCGCTTCCCAAGTATTTAAGTAAATTGTAGGAGCTGAAATATTAAGGCAGCATATGTGTCGAGAATGACGTACTATCCTTTTTGTGTAACACTTAGTTACTTCGACGGCCCATCCTCACTAGGCGTGCAGGCACCAGCATATTCTCATTTTTTCAGAGTTTTGTGGTTTAGCTATTGTGCCTCCCTGGAGTGCCGAGGTTAGCCTGGCCAAGGTGTGCCACAGATCGTCACAACTAAAGTAAGTCGCCGCTCTTTTGGATCAGAGAAAGATTTGCCACCATGCGACTAGTTTGATACAGGAGGGTGATAGATCCCGGTATTGATTCACTTTTAGCTGGATCTTCTGACGGAAACGCCGGACTCCTTTTCGGGTTAGGAGACCTTGTCGTGGCGATGAATCCCTTCGGTGTACATCGCATCCCCACACCCTAGAACACCTCCCAGCCACGATGGGGCGGTAAACCTTTGGGAGGTTTTGCGTAATTCCTGGGTTAACCATGTGGTTCTGCGAAGCTCCGGATATTTAAAGATGACTTTGAAAGTACTGAGTTTTTATTTTGAAAAGAAAAACATTCGCAAATGATAGTAAAGTTATGGTGGCAAAACTAGTGAAGTATTGAGTATACGAAGCGTGAAAGTACGCTAGCGTTAAAGAAAATACTGATAAATACAGGTAAAAACATATGTAAAGGAAAGCTACAAGAACGTAAAAGCTTTGGTTTTGTGCAGCAAGAGAGTTTCGATATATATGAATGTATATGCCAGGTGCATTAGAAGAAAGACAGAGTTTACACAAAAAATGTCACACAACGAATATAACAAAAGGCGAAATGTAACCCTGCTTTCTACACTGGAAGGTCTTTTTAGAAACAGCAAATGTAAGAAAAAAGTGCAGTTCATAATTTTGCTTGCTCCCCTTCAAACACAAGATTATTTGGGATTTCTAACACTCCACTTCTCTCTAAGGTCACCGAGCTCACTTTCGCTAATTTCCAAACTGTTCATTAGTGTAACTAAGTTGTCCGTATCGTTCTGTTCTTCATTCGGGAACATTTTAAGAAGATCGTCATGACGTATTTTAAGCTTCCTATTAAGTTCCTCTGCTTTCAACAGCTGCAACTAACAAATTAAGCAGAAACAACATAACGAATGGGAACCGCTTTGGAACCTGAACTGACTTCGGACCTACTTTCATGAAGAATGGCCATCAATGCATTGGTGTCGAGACGTTCGTGCGGTATTTCAAGCATCTAAATCATATCAATTACTTTTACTAGAAGGGCACAAGCCTATAGATAGCTCTTTTGTGTAGTTTGTTCTCCTGCAAGGTCTGTGGAACCTCAAGCAATGCTAGTGTTGGCTGCTCTGGCTTGTCCGGAATCGACAGAAGAAACTTAAGAAAACCGGCGAGAGTGGTGGTAAAACCTGATTTGGCCAAATAGCTATTAATCTCCTGAAAGCAGAAACCATGATGTACTAAGTTAAAATGTATCATCTCGTAGCACACACCTCAGTTATAAGGTCTGCCTCAGCACGATCACTGAATGGTCCGGAGCTCATTCCTTTCCTAAAGCTAAAAATTACTTAGTGTATGAACGCTCATACCTCAGGGAAAAATATTACTATGAAGTTGCAAGAAAATTTCAACGCCGAGAATGAAGACGACGGCAGTACTTCCGCGAAAATACAGCGCCTACAGATCTTCGTTGCAGGACCTCCACAAGTGCACTGCTCCAAGGAGAAACGACTCATCCGTAATTCAAACTTCTATCAAACCAGTATTATTTACATAAAGCTTAAATGGTGCACGGTTTTTAAATAATACGAAGAATTACGAAAGAAGGAGAGAATGCTTTTCCCAACACGCAGGGATAAAATTGTGTTTTCGCTTGATTTCAAAAGCCAGCTGCTGTTAGCCATCTGGATCGTCCACTACCTGTTAATATGAGTGACCATTTCGACAGTATATTAGCTATTTTGAAGTAAATATATAAGATAAATGAAAGGGTAAAGCTCTCGGCGTTGATCAATCCCTGAGGGATTAGCCATGCATTCGACTTCATTAGGCATCGTTTGAAGGTGCCTGGGGAGTGTGTATCTGGTCATTACAATGGTTCGCGGTGACCTGCCGATGTATCGAGCCAGCGCTGCTATTCTCCCAGACCAACCCGATACTAATTCGCCAACCCCGGCGGGATAGAAGGCTTGGTGAGCCAAGAACCCTGGGATCGATCCCATGAGTGTGTTGTAGGCCGCCTCCGACCACTACACCACACATGTCTTCTCACGAATTCTATAATAAGGTAATGTCGTGCTCGTGCTTTTCTGTCAGGCGTAAATCTCATTAACTGTGAAGTAATTTTCTGTCAAAGTTCTCGATGGCGATATCCTCCAATCTTTACGAGTTCCAAATTTTTTGCGTCTAATAAATCTAATAGAGGGAAATGAAGATCTCTGAAGAGCTAATTCCTCTGCGTTCAC